AAAAAATAATTAAAACAGTTAATAATTATAATAAATAATTTAAAAAAAATAATAATTATAGTAGTTATATAAAAAAAAATTAAAACAAAATTAAGCCAACCAGGATCTTATTTTAATCAGATTGTTGAGACCGCTGCTAAACTGTCACTGTATGCATATTATTTTACCGCCCTCTAAAAACAGATTTACATTGAACCAAATATATTTACATACTGTAAGAAACTTGGTAGTATGCCATTGGTTAGTGCATTTAATTTGTTTGATGCAATCATTGTGCCAACTATTTCTTATGGTAGCGATATGGGGGAACGTAAATTTGGAAATCGAGAGGGTACAGATAACATTTTGCAGATATCTACCCGGTACTTAGCATTAATAGTTGTACAAACAATGTAGCGATGTTAGACAATGTGGAAGGCTGCCATTGTGCTGTGGTTATTTCAAGCGTTGTATCTCATATTGGTTAAAATTACTGAAACCCCAAAGCATGTTATATCATGCTTAAACGATTAGACAAGACCGGCAGACTTGCTTGCGAAACCCACATAAAAATCTCCTGTTCAAATATGGTTTCCGGTCGGCATTGTCAGGTTTGAAAAACAAGTTGGAGATACTGCAAATTTCTTAGGGATATTTACTCAAAGAATAAAAAAAATAGTGGCATGCCTCAATTTCACAATCATACAGGCTGTGTACTTTTGGAAAAATCAAAGTAGTGTTATAACCTGGGAGATTTATTGGCAAGCAATTATAGACTAAAATATATACTGACGAGTTTTTGCTGTTTTGGCCATAAACATAATGTTGAATTAGGCAGATACACAAAAATACAGTTAGATAAATATTTTTGTTTGTTTTTGCATTGATACGTTGGGGAGAAAATGAAATTCACTTTGTTTTTATATGTCCATTTTATAATGATCTAAGGACTGATCTTTTGTCAATAACCCTATGCAATTATGCAAATACTGACAGTCTGGGCTTACTTCGCCGTTACACAAACTGCCACACCATATATCAAATCGCTCTATATCTTTTAACAGTTTTCAAGCGACGAGATGAATATGAATTCAGCTTAACTTAGTACCATATCATGTTTACATGGATTTTGTATTGTGTTTAAAACGTGCTACGCACTTTTCTACCCATTACATTTTATACGATAGACTGAGGCCCTGTACAGAAATAAAATTACATAATACAAAATTGACTAATACTAAAATGAATAATTGTAGACAGACTTCGACATGAAATCGTGTCACTTTTATGTGCGCTAACATCTGCGAAGAGCGAAAAAACTCGTAAGTAGCCTTCTACCTTAAAATACTTAGACAATAATGCTAAGATAAGTACAGTCTTGTCTTTTTTGTGTACAACATTTTGCCGTAGTGGATCAATGGTGTGAATGTGTTTTTCTGAAGGTGAGGAATGGCTCAGGACCCCTTCTCTAAAATGGTAAAATAGTTCAAAGAGGTTATGTGAAATATCTTACCAACGTAACACAAAGTAAACCAATTGAATTTAAAACCGACAATATAAAAATGTCTGCAATCTGTTACACACTTTTTGAATATTATAAAATTCACACATTTCACATCAAATATATAATTGTTATTTTCGAACCCCTTATTCAAAAGTGCTGGCTACGGGCCTGGGTAATGTGTGAGTGAAGAGAACACTAGTTCTAGCCATAGCTCGTTTTCATTGCAAAGAGGAAGGCTATCATAGCAGGGGCGTCGATCATGGGTGGGGATGATCAACTGTCCCCTCCATTTTCCAGAGGCTTACCCAAATATCAATAATAGGCTTATATCAAAGACTGCGTTTGTGTAAGGCCTTTGGTTCTGTGTACATGTACTGTGTTCTTAATGATCAAGAATGAAAATCCCCAAGTATGCACCAAATGACTTCATTTTGGTTGCATTTTTCAAAAATGTTCTACCTTCTGAAGGGGGCACATACCTCTTCGAGGTTACACACCTATATTCTGACACCCCTATGTTCCGACATCCCTATATTCCGACACCCCTATGTTCCGACATTCCTATATTCCGACAACCCTATGTTGAGATGCTAATAGGTTCTGACACCTACTAAAATTTAGAAAGGTTTTTGACATTTCACTGCGTTTTTATCTTTTTACTATAAGCAAAAATATCATTATTCTTCTTCAAATATTATTCTACGCTCACCTTTTGTAACACAATGTTACATTTCTTTACATTAAAAAATAACTATGCCGGATTATAATACTTGCCACTCTTCTGGCCATGGGCTTTCATGGAGGTGTTTTTGTGATCATCGTCGGCAATATTCTCAGACGCGATGTATTCTATCAAGCTCCAGACGCAACAAAATATTTTTGTAATTTTTGCCAAACGTTCAGATCAATACTAAACTGTGTACCTGACAGTCTTCATGTGGGGCCCTGACAACTTGTACTCGGGGAGACCTAAATTACATTGTTTAGTACTTTTATGTTCGTCGATCATCCAATAAATTCTGAGCCGGCCAGAATGCGCCATATTTTCTATGGAAATATGTACGCTAGTGGTCGGAAGCTAAAATTGGATAAATACCCCTCCCCAACATATGTAGCAAAGAAGTTTGGGTAATTTACACAAACGTAAAATACAAAATCGACGACTGCACAATGGAGCGAATAGGCAGTTTCAAATACATCTGCAGAACACGAAGGATATTGACATAATGAAGAAATAATGTAAAGTATAAATACGGGATATACATGTTTTGGCAGATATAAGGATAAGTATTTAAATTGTGTATTATACCAACTGTAATTTATGAGTGTAACATATGGGAATATTTTCAGAATAAAGAGAAATATCAAAACAATGCAATGGAACAACGAAGAATAGAATAGAATAGAATAGTGCTTTCTAATATGGACCTTACCCTTGAACGATGAATTATGCATCAAATTTGCAGGTAGTATAAACTTGTGCAATAACCTCGCATTAGAGGAAGCCAGCCTATTCTATTGTACATTTGAATTATCGGATAAATATGGGTGGTGGTTTAATTTTTTTAAATATGGAATTCTCTGAGACCTATCAATGTCTTAGATTGATAGGAAAACGTATAACGTGTGGAGGTAACAAGGAATGTTGGCCGAAAACACACAATATAGGAATGGAAAAAGATAGTGTGAAACCTTTATATATTTTGGCAATCTCAAAAACTTATACAAACACTACGGAATGCTAAATGCAGTGCCTATTCATCTCTCGCATAATAAATAAATAAATAAATGATAAACTTGGAAAGGTGCTACCGGATGTAAACAGAAACCTTGCAATTCCGCGACTGATGAATATCGAAGTACAACTTTCATAAAAAAGGTAAAATAATTCTCCGATAATTATCGATCTAAAACTTCGATAGTTAGGCAATCGGAGGATTTAAGTTTGGAACCACATCCAACAGACACGGATATTGTCAAATATATGTCGAAGTATTAGAATGATACAATGGGCAACATTGTTTGATAATTCTCTGATAATTATCCGATAACATTATGCAAGATCCCGCCTTCATGGACTTTCGAGCATCATGGCCGGACTACACTACAGTTGGATTTCCAGTATTAAAGGGAACCTCAATCCAAACAACATAATGACCCCTAAAGAAAAAGCTCCACAAATGTAGGAGAATGCAATTTACAGTTTTGTTGTATCACTTTTCATTCCCTAGGTATTCCACTTTTCATCAGTATTACGTAGTCAGCCATCTTGATTTTCAAGCAAAGGATTATGGGTAAAGTATGACATCATAGAATCTGTTGTCAGAAATTGAGAAAATGATTTCATCTATAACTTCAAAAGTTGAACTTCAAATTGGCTGAAAGTTTAGAAATTGGTAGCATACATGTACTGGTGCTACTGGTGCCATCCATGCTTATAAAATAGTTGTCATGGAAACAGAACTGAAAATATTTATGTTTATGTTTTTCTACCAAATACTAAAATTTCCTTATATTGTATACGTGAGTAAGTTATATAGGTGATATATCACATGTTGAGTGCAAAAAGGGGACAAAAAAGGGACATTCTATATTTCACAACTAAAATATTGATTTTTATTTTTTTAACGTTTTCAACAATATTTTCACTTTATGTGTATTTGTAAAATTCCCATTTCCATTACTATAATTATATACATGAGTAATATGTACAACGAAAATTTGAACTAATTCGCATCAGTATTTCTCATGTTATAGATGAAATAATTTTCATCTGAAATAATGAAATAATAACTGATTCTATGATGTCATACTTTACCATAATCCTTTGCTTGAGAATCAAGATGGCTGACTACTTATTAACGATGAAAAGTTAAATATCTAGAGAATGAAAACTGTTATAAAAAAAGTGTAAATTGCATTCTCCTACATTTGTGGAGCTTTTTCTTTAGGGGTCATTATGTTGTTTGAATTGAGGTTCCCTTTAACCCACAGGACATCCTGGTTATATCAAGGTAGTAAAAGGTCACGCACGGCTAGTCAGATTAAGTTTGACACAAGTATACTGTGTGTCGGAACTTAGGGGTGTCGGAACATAGTGGTGTCGGAACATAGAGATGTCGGAACATAGGGCAGTCCCCCCTCCTCAGACACCCCCCTGTTCGCGCAAGCGCGGCGGGACATTGGCCGCTTACGCGGACACAAAAGTGTCCCCCTCACTTTTCAGAATGGATCGACGCCCCTATGGTATCATAGAGCATAAGATTAGGAACTGTGAAAGGTGTGTCCTACGGAAGTCCTTACCAAAGGGACTGGCTCCATTATTTAACATTTGGACCACTGGTCCATCCCATTCACTCTGACCAGAGAGTCGTTTGTTGAAGCAGGTATTTCAGATATAGGCATTCGGAAATCAAGGACGATATTTTACGATTCTTACAGATCCACAGTCTGAATGCTTTATAGGACGACCATGCTGAGAACTCAAGACAAGGACAACTTTCATTGGAGCCGGCACATCAGTTTCCTAGTACATACAACTGTAGTAGGAACGATAGTACCAACTATTCACTTTATTATTTAATATTTGGTCGTTAGGCGCCATTGGCCTGTGTTTTGAGGCAACTCAGAAGTAAACACCAGGAAGCTTACAGGCTTGCGACGATGTGGCCACACAGTTCTAGCTAAGAAAAGACGATATGACAGCAAAGTTCATGCAAGCCACCTTCTACTTGGCGATAGGGTGTTAGTTTGGAGTGTTGATGATTCGGAAGTGGAATATCATAATGGTTCTGGGTGCCAAGTTTATCCAGGCTATGACTGACCAACTGTCCTGCTGCAATCACCAGCAATCCCATTCTCCCCATTAAATGTCAATGCTTCTATCTTTAGCCCTGTACACACACCTATAACCCTTGACATTCCTACACTCACGCCCATACCTTCTGACACTCCTACACACATATCGATATTTCATGACATTCTTACTGGCCCATTACAGACACTTGCCAGTCCATCAGAGGAACCCCTGTTGAATGATGAGATTTCCGGGCCAGGAACAGTATATCACTCAAGTGCCATCTCCTCAACCCTGGTTCTATCGTAGCAGGTCTAGAAGAATTAATGCAGGTCGACCTGGAGAAAGACACCCAGTTGGCCACCCAGTTTGAATCTTATGTATGTCGGATAAGCCTACTGAGTTTTCGTCTTTTTATTCCATGAAAAAGTGTAGTTCATCTTCTATTTTTTGAAGCGAACGTTGTCTTAAATTGTTATCTTCTTAGGGTCTTTAGCTAAATTATAGCTGCTTGTTCATATGTTCATATGTTTGGATTTTTTCTGTTAATGTTTGTTAAGAAATTAATATATCCGTGTTTAATAGTCTAGAGCTGAGTTCGCTACCATTAAATTATAGAAAAAATGGTCACGGTAAAAAAAGGTTGTATAATGATTCACATACATGCACGTCATTCATAAGTTTTCACGGAGAAAGCAGGATGCGTTTAAAAAAAACATAATTATGCAAAATTATTCAAAATACAGCTATTTTGGAACATTTTCTATAGCAATCCATGTAAACACTGTGGCTTTATTCAATGGATAACTTATACTTTATTCAAATTTCTCCATTGAATTCCCAATGATTCTGGTTCAGGAATTGTACGTCATTAATCTGGTTTACTGTATTTACCGAATATTTTATGTTGTAACGCCCTCAATGTTGAAAAGAAGAAAGTCTGAAAGAGTAGAAAACGACTGTTTGCTGCTGCTGTCCATCATTGATTTTTGGGGTGTAATTTACGTTACATTACGCTGAGGTTTAAATTCACTAGATTATACAGAAAACAACACATTTTATAGTAAAATTGGAATATTCAATGAGTTTTAATTTAGCGTCACGCATTTAACTGCCATATAAATATAAAACTCAGCAAATAATAGCCCTATATTGCACTCGCACTCAGACTGTGTGTTTGACTTTGGGCCATATATATTTCCGGATAAGTAATTAATGGCGTAGTATTGACAATATTTTGTATAGAAAATAGAGACTGAACTTGCCCTGAATGTGATACAATAGAAGGCGAGATGCATTTACAGAATGGAGAAGCAGAAACGATACAACTTATTTTACAATGATATATTGGACATTGACAACCCACGCGGGAACTAGATCACTTATCAGGAATTGATCATTCAACTAAGTCTTTTTTTGACATTTTAGTGTGCGCCCTCCAGTGGTAGATACTTTGCTAACTGGACTCGGACAAATATGGCGATTTAGGATGTCAGTGTGTTTTGTCCGTTTGTTGTTTTGGAACTGATCAGGTACAGTTTATGTTATTCCGAGTAACCACAGGCGTGTTTTTAATGATTATGCTTCTAACATTGTACATTGAGCCTGTAAGTGTGTTGTAGTTGGGGAAACACCTCTGTTTAGATTCCGATAGGGTCAAAAACGTTTATATAAGTGTTAGTGTTACTGTTATCGTTGTCATATGTCAGTGATTCATGGTCATATTTGCAGTTACTCACAGGCTCGGATAACTAATTATTTGTCTGAATCCTAGGGTATTGTTGACTCGATTGCGATTGTGTACATGGATTTACGTTGGATGCTATTTTAGGGGATATTCTGTGTATTAGCCCCGTGTACATGGACTGTGTCGGGGGCTTAGTATCATAATACGGACAGGCGATCCCTGTGTGCGGGGTTATTGCCCACTAGTTGCCCGATCAACACAGGGTTGGAGCATGGACGTAGTAGTACGTCCATGTACGTCCATGGTTGGAGCTAGAAAGGGAAGGAGAGAGGACGCTATTTTTTCTGCCTGTCCTAAGATAGTTATAGTTTATTTGCTCATTAGATTACCATGGTTTAATCTTCTGTTGGTTAACTTTGTGAATATCTGTATGCGTTCGGAGACTAAATCAACCCTATTGATTCATAATCTGAAACTATGAAATAAAAAAAAAATGTATAATTACACAATGAAACAGGGAAGTTTATTTTGAAAGGAGGTTATGTTAATTTGTACCACAGTACCCACAGTAAAATAACAATATACTGTATGTGTATGTGTTCTACATATTCATGAAAACTACAGGCTGTAATTATCATTTCGATGTTAATGAATAATAATGTTGCAAAAATTGCTATATGGAATAGACATTTTTATTTTCATGTTATTAAGTTATTAATTTACTTTTAAAAGTAAAGTAGCTATCATAAAATATAATTACCGGTACTGTAAAATGAAATTTTCAATTATGAAGTACGCTACATGGTGTTTTGCCATGCTGCTCACAAAAGTAACTGCTCTATAACTGATAAACTTCCTCTAAAATATTGTTGGTTATGAAAAAGATAAAAGATACCATAAAAATAGAAATTCATGTTGAACTCAACTGTAACATTACTAACATGCGAAAACGTCTCATCTCATCAACTTGATTTTTCAAAAATAAATGATTTACGGTAAAAAAAAACGAACAGAGTTGCTAGAAAATCATCATGAATTGTACATTTTCTCATTTTACACTCAATGACCTGAAAAATAATCCATCTACACCCACCAATCATAACAATGAGTAACAATCATCTACTGGGTATTTTACTTCCATGTAAAATCTTTTAGACATTGTCTAAACAAACAATGGAAATGGTAACGCTATTGCGATTTCACGAACACACATCGGCGCACAATAAAAAGATCGAAATATCTCATTTTAACTCTCTGTTTTCAAGCAACCCATACAAACTTTAAAATCTTTTACAGGAACCGTCGGTAATCGTTCGCGACTTCGCTGAAAATGTATCCAGGACTGTGTTGTTCCCGATGCCAAAGGTCGCTGAATGACCTCTGACTTCACTTGGAAGAAAACGCACACATGTATCTAGACTGACGCAGTCGGGCGATTAATTTGTTTTTGTAGTTTAGATAAAATTTAAAAAATCGCGAAATCACCCCGACTGGTTTATTCTGCAGGAAATTCATTGCTATTAAATATTCATGATGCACATTTGAGGTGGGCGTGGAAATACGTGCATAATGAGGTCAACATGGTAAAGGTCACCCTGCAGACCCAACATGGCGACACGTTGAAATTCGTGTTTGCCGTAGTCGTCGTTTTTAATTCATCACAATGTGTAAAAAAGTAACTCGTATTAGTCGTAGAATTAAAAAAAAAAACGGCTACAATCAGCGGACGTCTTCTCGGCCAGAGGTCAGTTGATGAGACGTTGTGATTGGCTAAGATGATTGTTAATTAGAATACTCATTAGCACAATTACCCGTTGTAAAATCAACGGGTTCCTGCAGTGTCGATAGAGGGCCATGCAGAATAAACCAGTCGGGGGGATTTCGCAGTTACAGGAGATTTCGCGCTAACACCTCCATTTTGCAAATTTTTTTATTTTATTTAAACTACAAAAACAAATTAATCGCCCCGACTGCGCCAGTCTAACATGTATCATTTGTTATTTCTTCTGCATATTCGTTTTTATGGATGAAAAATATTTTCCCATTCAGAGATATCTTGAAATGCAGCAATTAGCATGAGTAAATATGCGGTCTCAATCATGGTGTAAAAGGCTCATTTTGATAGGATTAATTCTGTCTAAAACAAAGTTGTGTAAACAGCTTAAGGTAGCGGGACTATTATTTGCATACTTGTTTTCATCTTCTAATTGTGACTAAATGACTACAAATAGACCCGGGAAAGTATATATTTTTAGAATCGCCAGACTTCAAGCTTTTCACAAGTGTATTTTGCATGCACGTATCTGCAATCTACGACGCGTTACTCAATCAAAGGTGAAAAATTACTTTTTCTGTAAAAAAAATAATTACGCATTTATGCTGGCGATAAGTATTTTTTTCACTTTTCCTAGTTGTTCAATAGTCTGGTAAATTGAATGTGTCTGGTTAGTT